TATATGTATCTACATCTATACATTTCAATGGTGCTAGTGTAAAGGTGAGCTTAAAGCAAGAATAAAACGAAATCGAAAGGGTGCAATTTACAAATTGAGAGAAGGTGCAACTTACAATTAGTGAGATAAGACTTACGATCAATGCATAATTACGTGAATGTGGTACAAAAGTGTTAAAACGTTGAAAGCGTTACCAAAAAACAAGCAAAAATGTACAATTTACAATCAGATTCAAAGCGAGTTGTTGCTAGCATTGAAAAACATGCAGGCTCTTATGGCCTCTCTCTGCATCTGTCTGCGTTGAAATCTGAGTAAGTAATCTTGGTTCAACTCCAGCGTTATCTTCTTCCTTGAAGGGCAGTACCTGTTGAAGAAAACTTATCAGTCAAAAGTAATTTTTAAGGGGCGTGAGTAGATTGTGGAGTAGCACCCAAAATGAAGGCAGTTTTCAAGCCCTAGATAGTAGTTTATGCGTATAAGCAGTCTCAAATCCTAGAATTTGAAAGTGAGACTTGCCCTTACTAGAATAATATAAAAGTCATCTTCTCTTCCTCGAAGTTCTACTCTATTCTATTATCTGGACATTGTAGCTCACTTTCTAACAGTCTCTTAACTTTTTGGTTCTGTTTGTGCACAGACTTTCAGTTGAATCAGTTTTGCTTGGAAAATCAGTGCTTGGAAAAAGAACTCAGAAACTGCAGTGATTTTGACTGACTAATTTTTTGGACTGAAAACCTCGGCAGACTCAAACTTAATTCATTTTCTCTCTTCAGGTTCAAGTCAATTAAGCTTGTTTACATTTTCTATTCAAATCTAAATCCCTACTTTTTTGTTTTTATCTCTAGTTCACGTTCTGTAATCTTCTTCCATCACGACGATGTTATTTAACCTTGCATATTCATAAATTTCCAAAAGGGATCAATGGTTTTGTCTCGGTGCTTCACAGGGTTTAGATAAGAGATTAGTAGAAAAGTAAGTTGCCTTCCAGTGATAACTGATTCCAGTGTTTTCTATATTTAAACTACCGTTTCCGGCAGCTGAATTATGATTTCTTGATATACAGTTAAGTTTTACATTTTGAGCTATTTAAAAGGAAGTTCTATGGAGTACGGGCATCTCTTAATGTAGTTTTTTAGGAGCTCACATAGATAGCGGAGCCCTAACGTAGTTTGCGGATGCTCTCCGCCCTAATAGCCTCGTGCCACCTAGTAAACCACTTTGAGTTGAAACAACAAGAACTGCCACCTCTCTGTCTTGACAGTGTCCTGAGCCAATTCTAGGGCACATTTTGCATAGGACCATGTCGCCATTGAACATACTCACTAAAGATAAAGTAAAACAAAACTTACGTCTCAGTATGATTATCGAATCCATCAGCACCACAAAGCGAGCAAGGCTTCATACTCGACAGCACTGGACAGGCTGTCTTAGCATGCCCAGCTGCGGGTTTTCCGACGCTTTTACAATAAGCACACTCCTTAACAATTATTACGAGATAAGTCTTCACACACATCATCACCCACCTTGCGGGGTATAGCAGCTCGAGCCTGATGCTCAGATTTCATGGCAGCTGGGATTGGAGCAGCCGGGATTGGATCAGCCTAGAAAGGGAAGTAAGCTTCAATACAATGCAATGAAGAAATGCCATCATTATCCTTGTGAATTGATGATACCTTACCGGGACTTGTTTCAGTTGCTCTACAATATTGTCGAGAGCGCGGCCGTTATCGGGGTAAGGAACATAAAGCTTTTTCTGAAAAATGCTGGTTGGAAAACAAAGATATACAGCTGAGCAATCTAACAAACGATTCAATATTCAGACATTTTAGTAAAGCAATAAGCGATTAATCAGACCAGCTAAACAATGATACGCGACAAAAATGGTGAGATAATAGATACATTTAGACGTATGCCACCTTAACAGCACTTAACTTTGTCTGCTTTTTTCCAAAGAAGACCAGAAAGATGCGCCTAGTGCTGACAAAAATCTTGCAGATACCTCTTCCCTACGGGTATGTCCGCCCTTCAATCTCTAATCCCTAATATATAAAGAATCACAAGCGCAGTTCAAAAATCTT